TGGACATCTGTTAAGAACCTTGAGTGGTAAGTGGTACACCTAACCAGGAGGTACACTGTTGTTTTATGTTAACTTTTACCTCAAGCAAAATATAGGTCTTGTAGTTGTTAAAGCAAGTTTACTATATTTATATAGACAGTGTTGAGAATTCAAATTCTTTCATGCATCAGTAGTGGCACTAAAAAACAAAGAAAATATTTCAAAATAGTGAAGTTGTTAGGGAACAGTGTTATTTTGTGTTTACAATCATTTCCTTTCACCTTCTGGTAATAACTTCATGTGTCATTCCATTCTTACTCATCCTACCTCAGGGGTTTTCAGTCCTGGCCAAAAAACAGAATTAAASTGGAAGTTAAAAAAATAATAATAATGCAGGGAACCCCACCCCAGATAAACATTGAATCAAAATCTCCTAGAATCAGTCCTGGCATGTTTTGTTTTTCTTTCTTGTTTTATTCTTTACAGATGATTTAGATGCATAATTCATTTTGAAAAAATAATGGCCTTCTTCCCAAGCCATTCAAATAAAGGCTGTTCTTTGGATAGGCCACATGACTTCATCTTTACACTTGCTGTTTTTTCTACTTAGGACATCCTTCTTTTTGTATGCCTGTTTAGATAACTGTTCTTTATTCAATCTTCAAGCTCAAACATAGCCTTCCTTGAATTCCCATCCTGGATGCAGATAGTTTCTTTGGCATTTTGTTCACATACCAGAAACCCTGTATTTGAGGCAGTCCAGACCTCTTCCCAAACAAAAAATTGAAAAAGTTGGTTAAACATTGAATTGTATACTGTATAAGCATGAACTTTATGTATTGTAAATTATATCTAAGCAAAGCTTTTTTAAAATAGAAAAAGAGCAGTTTAACCAGAAAATCATGAAAGAGTGTAACATTATAAACTTTTATTTTTTTACCTAAAACAGCTGTCTGCTCATTTGCCAATCTATTCAGAAATCCCAGGGCCTTTTCTTTGCACATGGTCTACTGATTGGAGTTCTGTATTTTATCTCTTGCATAAATCATATAGCTAACTCACTAGTAAGATTTCCCAAGATTTTGTTCCTTTAAGAGGAGAATAAAGGCACTTGAGAAGCAATCTGAGTGCAATTTTAATCTTTATACTCTTTATAGTTATCTCACACAGCTTTATTGGATCTTTCCAAAATATTAAACATAGTTTTTAAAGAAATGACAAACTTTATTTCCATGCTATTTTATTTATGTATATGTTATAAAAGCACAGTATCAAATACAAGTGGCATAAATAGATTGGGAACAAACACAAGTAACTTATAGGACCCTACACCTGGTAGTGCAGAAAGGGGCAGCCTCATTGGAGGTAACTTTGCTAGCCATGAGCATTTAGCATGATATGGGAATTASCCACTTAAGATTTACAAAAGAAATAGGGTTAATTGCTTAGAGGTCAAATGTAGATAGGCTAGGAGAGCATCTACTGTGCCTATCCATTTTAATTATTTGACTATATGTGTTCTTCCTCATAGAGATTTAGAACATTTATTCTGAAGACAGAGATTGGGCCTTTCTTTTCAGGGGAACTGCTGGGGAAATCCCCAGACAGTCTTACCCTAACATGTAAATTTTATGAAAACAAGTGGAATTTAAAAAAATTGTTATCATTGTTTTTAAGGCATTTTCACTACAGTTTATGGATCTTTAATGAAAAGGTAATGTAACAGATAAATTTTTCCTTCTTAAAAGCTTGAACTAGTTTCCTGGGGTTGCCATACTAAACTACCACAAACTAGCCGGTTTAAAATGACAAGAATTTGTTCCCTCACAGTTATGGAGGCCAGGTTATAAAACAGAGGTGTTGACAGGACTTTGTACCTTTTGAAGCTTTCCTTGCCTCTTCCAGTTTTTGGTGGCTCCAGACACACCTAGCCTGGTGACTATGTGACTTGGGTATCTGTGCCTCCATCTTCACTTGGTCTTTCTGTGTGTCTGAGTCTCAACTCTCTCTGCCTACCTTTCTCTTATAAAGAGAGCTTGAAAATAAATGGAAGAGCAATCAAATGAGAACAAGCAAAGGCTATTTGTTCAGAGGTTACAAGGAAGTGCTACCATCTGCATTTTAGCTGAGTCAGAGGCAGGAAGTGGAGTGAGTATAACTTGATTGGAGGTATAGACATAGGGAAGCTACAGGCAGGCTGGTTAGAGTGAGGCATCCAATGTGATTGATCAGGGGTGTATATTTGGTGTTCTCTGGTTGGCCCCAAGTTGGAAGCAGAGATAAGATTTAGGGAAAATATCATCATTAATC